GCGGGCTAGAAAAAAAAGGCAGGTGCAAGGAAAAGGCGTGAGGCACAAAAAATAGATTATCTCTTTTTTAAGTATTGTTGACCTTAATAGTTTGTGGTTATTTTTAACTATAGAGTATTTGTACTTTTTACATATGCAATGAGCAATAAAAGCTAATAAAAGCACTTTTTAACACTTAATTGTAGTGCACAATTTAATGTCTCTGAATTACAAGATATCCATATATCCTGTATTTGATAACTAGCAGCAGTGCCAGAAAAAACTTGGGCAAAATCTGGGAAAGGGCATTTTCACTTTTACTCAATTACTTGCCACACAACTCCTTTTGAAACCTAAATCAGTGTAAAAAGCCACCTAACTGTCTTCATTGAAGTACAATCTGTTACGAGAAGTTATACACTGATTGACATGCAGACGATGCAGTACATGTTAGTTTATAACATATTTGGCAATTTTATAACCATAACACAATGAAAAAATGGCTAAAAATATTTGCCTTCTTTGTACAATGCATTTAGCTGCATGCCCCTGTAAGTGTAGGGCAGTGGGGACAGTTGTGCTGCCTTGTGGTTCAGGCACCCCTGATAACTGGTTCACATTCACTAGTTGTGAATATATAACAGATTAGTTATGAAGTGGAAATCCAGCCTTATTCCAAACACCATATCTAAAAGATATTGTTAACTGAGATGTCTTAATTTTATATATGAAAGCAAAGTCTTTCTCAGGATTAACAATGACTGCAGCCTTACCATTAAATCTGCCTTTCAAGTGTTTCTTAAACTTTGACTCAACACTGCTTTTAGTTTGGTTGGACAATAAAGACAGTAGTAATAAAACAGAATCCTTTGAAGTAAATCACAAAACGTGAGCTTTCCTGTCTGCACAGTATATTATGTTCGTAATTATATTCTCAATCCTTCCCTCTTCCCGCATTATTCCCTCTTTTAAAAGTTACCTCGAATGGCATGCTTCAGATGATCTCACACTGGTATGGATGTCGAATACTTGTTTTTGCATGGAGGCAATTCGAAATCTTTGCAGCCAAAGCATACTTTCCTGTACTAGAAATAGTCCACAGTTCAAAAAAAATTGAGAACAGAGTTCGAAATAAATATTAAAAAATGGTTCGTGATTTAGTTTCCCCGCTACTTCACATCGCCTGAAATTCAGCAAATCTAGATTTATATACTGGAAATCGCGTCATATTTTTCTCGGTATATGATATTTTTTTGATAAATCAATATGAATTTCAACCTATAAGATACATGTGTTTAGTATATTTACAAACGAATAAGCGAACGCAGCAGGTATAAAAACATTTAAACTTGTCTCGTATAAACCCATCACCACTCGTTCTCGCTTTCGTCTTCTAAATCAGACATAACGAGGTCGGTGAGGTCAGCAAACTTAGACCCATCGTTAAGTCTCCTTCGTTTTTCGGGGTATCTGTGGGAAGATGACGTCAGTCATCAAACGGACGCCTCAAACCATTTTTCAATGCTAGGATTAGGATCAAAATCTTTGCACGGTGGACCTTCCTCTTCGATACGTAGAAGCGCATCCAGGCGGTCTCGGCCGAGCCGGTTACGCCAATCACTTTTAACCCGAGCCATTCTGGAAAACATTCTTTCCAACTTGGCATTGCTAGATGGTGTGACTAGAAGAATTTCAATGATATCCAAGGCATTTCTGCATTCGCGTTTCACGTCCGCATTTGTAAAAATCTTCTTCCATACATCAAGATACTTCATGGACTTGTCGTTGGCAACAATGGGCATCACATGCCCCTTAAGAGCTTGCCACTCAGGGAGAATGTCAACAATAATGCAACCATTTATCGACAAGACTTGGTGAAAATGGTTGGCAATGCTTTCAATCTCCTTGTCTCCAAAAGCGGAAAGTGAAACAGAGTCATCCGTTGGCCATGTCGATGTATCTAACAACTGGACTTGGTGCTGAAACACAGGGGAGGTGACCAGGTCGGCGAATCGTTTCTCCATGCTTTCTGTAATGCGACGAATGGTCTCATTGTAGCTTTCTCCGATACGCTCACGCAATGCTTCATACTGAGAGTGTTTGATCCCTTGGTAATAATAGATGCCATCTTCTCTCTGCTCAAGAAGAGACGTAAGCCGTTTATATCTAGTCTTGACACTTCCTTCCTCGTCAAGACTTTCGTCGATTAGAACTTTCAACTTCGCCATCGTCCAAGTAAATTCCTGGATACGACGAACCGTTTCACAGGATCGTGTCTCTCTTGCTGCATTGCTAACAAGAGCCGCTTTATTGGACTCAGCACATCAAGATAGATATCTGTGTGAATAACATAGCTGGCTTGCTTCCACTGTCTCACAAAACCCTCTATCTCTGTTTTTTTAAGGCTTGTGAAACTGTAATAGCTAATGACTCTAAATGAGTCATGAACGCACCATAGTTTTCAACCATAATTTCCATGGCCTGAAATAATTTACATTGCAATCAGACTACTGTAGTTTCATGACCCAAATATGTTTTATTAGGTTCACAGTTCACAGTTAGCAAAATAAACCAATATAAATAGTTGCTCAACCCGTGCCTATAGAGGACGCGTAACATGCATTAAATAGATCATTACCCGGCCAACTTGTACTTGTGTTCGATCCATCTTGTGCCGGTTGCTTTGGAGGGTTTTGGAATTCCTCCTTCGTATGCTGTGGCCAACTCGCGTAGCTCTCGAAGTCGTTTTGGACTCTTCTGGTAAAGGTAGTGCAACTTCATCAACATTTCATCAATTTTAGAAAAGCTGGTCGTGTTGAAAGCATCCTTCAGAGCCAGTTCCACGCGGTGGTTGAAGCAATGTATGACTTGGAGCCATGGGGAACGTTCTTTCAGCAATGCTCCCAGTCCGCGATGAATTCCCGTATTCACACTTGCGCCGTCCACATTCAACCCGGTGTCACGATCTCAGTCCTCCCCCGTTCTGAGTACTCCCCTTGTAACAACTGCGCATGCGCTGTCTAGGGGGATAACTGAGCACGTAGCACGGCGGGCTCAGTTCTCCCCCAATCTCAACGATCCCACAAAAAACTTGATGCATATTAAAGCAAAGAAACTGTTTGGGTAACAGGTAGCCTTGTTAAAATGTGTCACACAGGGATTTCTTGTAATTGTGGGTAATTTTCTGTAGTATAAGATGAAATGAGCACAAATTTTCCTTATTTTAACAGTTTTTTGTGACTTGTGACTCCGCAGGAGGCCGAGCATGTTTGTTGATGATTAATCATTCAATTTTCAATCGTCTGTCTCATTCATCCCCTTCATTAGCCTCATACAACATCAGTCAGTTTCACTCATCCCCTTTGACCAATATCAGTTGATCTCACTCATCCCCTTCATACAACATCAGTCAGTCTTACTCATATCCTTTGACCAATATCAGTTGAACTCACTCATCCCCTTCATACAACATCAGTCAGTCTTACTCATATCCTTTGACCAATATCAGTTGATCTCACTCATCCCCTTCATACGACATCAGTCAGTCTTACTCATATCCTTTGACCAATATCAGTTGAACTCACTCATCACCTTCATACAACATCAGTCAGTCTTACTCATATCCTTTGACCAATATCAGTTGAACTCACTCATCCCCTTCATACGACATCAGTCAGTCTCACTCATATCCTTTGACCAATATCAGTTGATCTCACTCATCCCCTTCATACGACATCAGTCAGTCTTACTCATATCCTTTGACCAATATCAGTTGAACTCACTCATCCCCTTCATACGACATCAGTCAGTCTCACTCATATCCTTTGACCAATATCAGTTGATCTCACTCATCCCCTTCATACAACATCAGTCAGTCTTACTCATATCCTTTGACCAATATCAGTTGATCTCACTCATCCCCTTCATACAACATCAGTCAGTCTTACTCATATCCTTTGACCAATATCAGTTGAACTCACTCATCCCCTTCATACGACATCAGTCAGTCTCACTCATATCCTTTGACCAATATCAGTTGAACTCACTCATCCCCTTCATACAACATCAGTCAGTCTCACTCATATCCTTTGACCAATATCAGTTGAACTCACTCATCCCTTCATACAACATCAGTCAGTCTTACTCATATCCTTTGACCAATATCAGTTGAACTCACTCATCCCCTTCATACAACATCAGTCAGTCTTACTCATATCCTTTGGACCAATATCAGTTGATCTCACTCATCCCTTCATACAAATCAGTCAGTCTTACTCATATCCTTTGACCAATATCAGTTGATCTCACTCATCCCCTTCATACAACATCAGTCAGTCTTACTCATATCCTTTGACCAATATCAGTTGATCTCACTCATCCCCTTCATACACATCAGTCAGTCTTACTCATATCCTTTGACCAATATCAGTTGATCTCACTCATCCCCTTCATACACATCAGTCAGTCTTACTCATATCCTTTGACCAATATCAGTTGATCTCACTCATCCCCTTCATACGACATCAGTCAGTCTTACTCATATCCTTTGACCAATATCAGTTGATCTCACTCATCCCCTTCATACACATCAGTCAGTCTTACTCATATCCTTTGACCAATATCAGTTGATCTCACTCATCCCCTTCATACGACATCAGTCAGTCTCACTCATCCCCTTTGACCAATATCAGTTGAACTCACTCATCCTCTTCATACGACATCAGTCAGTTCACTCATATCCTTGACCAATATCAGTTGAACTCACTCATCCCCTTCATACAACATCAGTCAGTTCACCATCCCCTTTGACCAATATCAGTTGATCTCACTCATCCCCTTCATCAACATCAGTTAGTCTCACTCATCCCCTTTGACCAATATGACTCATCTACTGCACAATATCAGTTTAATGCATGAATTTACAATTAGCTAATCTATTTACAATTTAATATTTAATAATTTACAATTAGCTAATCTATTTACAATTCGACACTTAAAAATTTACAATTAGCATAATATACTTACAATTTAACATGACAATTTTTAAGAGGAAATGGTCCTAATTCACCAACTTGAAAACATAGAGCCAGGTGCTCTCTCATGCAACTCTGGTCATAGGTCAATTGGCTTGGATCATCACCAGCCAACAAACTAAAGGCAACAGCAAGTGCAAATAGACCACAGTCATCACATCCTTTCTGTTTTTGCATGGGTGGATAGCTGATAAACATCTTGGATACAGTGGTGCCAAGCAATGCAGCTAAACAGGAATGAAATTTCTGTTTCAGCTTCTTTGTCACATTCAAGGAGAGGGAGTCATAGACTTTCACAGCATTTTCCTCACAGTGGATATTGGTGACAGTTGCCCAGTGTTGTCCGCCAACATTAATAATCTGGACAAAGTCTTTCAATCCTTTCTCAACTTTGGGCTTTCCCTCGAATGAAAGCACTGAGTGCAACCCTCTTGCTTCAGGGAACTGTTGCGACAGTAACCACTGGCCATGATCAACATGTTCGTCAGTTAGCCAAAAATGGTCTTGAAGGATTTGCACACTAAGCTGCTCATAATTATTATTGGGCATGCTCTGCAACACCTCAGACTGTCCCTTCACTCTCTTCTTTTTTTTAATGTTGGTGGTGGTGGAGGCAATGTTGGTGGTGGTGGAGGTAATGGCGGTGGAGGAGGAGGTATTGCTGGTGGTGGAGGAGGTATTGCTGGTGGAGGAGGAGGTATTGCTGGTGGAGGAGGAGGTATTGCTGGTGGTGGAGGAGGTATTGCTGGTGGAGGGGGTGGTATTGCTGGTGGAGGAGGAGGTATTGCTGGTGGAGGGGGTAGTATTGCTGGTGGAGGAGGAGGTATTGCTGGTTGAGGGGGTGGTATTATTGGAGGATGAGGTGTTGTCACTGTCATCATCATCATGAAGCCTGCTTGTGCAATATGGTCGCAATTGATCATATGGGACCTTGTTTTTCAAAGGAAGGGCGCTTTCTTTCAATGGTATCAATGTTGCCCTTTGTGATGTATCAATGTCATCAATTCTGAAAGTGAATAACAACTATGTAATTAAACATGACAAACTGCAAATTTATCACAGTTTTCACTTTGGTAGTCTCTAGAGAGTAATTCTGATGGTGGTATGATACAAGGAAAAGGCCACATAATGATATCTTTATTATACGGTATGAGATAAATGAGGATTTGATTTAATTATACATAAAGAATTTAAATGAACCTGTATGGGCCTATCCAACATGGTTCCATTTTTCCACCTTTCCTTGAAATGTTTTTCATCTGCCTCTTGTAGACAGTGTCACCAACTTTCAAATCAAATGACTTGACACCCTTTGTCTTCCTTTTCTGATACTGCATTTTTTGCTTCTGTTGTGCTACTTCAATGTTACTAAGCACCTGAATAACAAAACATGATGAATTATTGAATTTTATTCTGAAAAAAACCCATGCTACCAGTACATAAAAAGCCATATGTTTTCTTTTAAAAGTTACCATAATGACATGGGTTAACAATGTGTTATTTTAAGAACATATATTATAACAGGAAAGTTTCTTCTGCCTGGTCATGTATATAGGAGTGGCTTGCACACTGTATATAAATTTTTAATAGATGTCTAGATTTTGTGATTGATTTTGTATCAGACTTAAATGATCCTTCATAACTTTTATAACTTACCACTAGGGCAAGTAACATGTTAACTAGTGCCACAGTGACATGTTACTTACCACTAGGGCTAATTGCACATGATAAGACTGACAGTGCAATGTGGTTTGCCCTAGTGAAAATGTGAAATTAGTAGTTGGTAACCACCAGAACTGGCTTTACCCTACATAATGAGATTGATAGGTTGTAATAAAATTAATTTTGCATAACATCAAAATTAATTTTGATTGCACATTGTACACATACTTGTTCCTGTGTTGCTACAGCATTTGCCATTTTTTCCTTGACTTCCTCATCCAATTCCTCTTCAAGATGGTCTGGAGCTGAAGAGCAGTCCTCGACAACAGCCATCTGTACACAGAATTACATATTAGTTTGAAATTGCTAAGCAAGCTTGTAGCCTGCATCAAGCCCCCTGTCCCTCTTGGTGGAGAGCTTGCTAAATTTATAATTATATAAGAGATGAGGTGGATACAGTATATTATTAATTCAATTAATCATAATACTCACGTTTTGAGGTGAATTGGGATTTCGTCCAAACATTAAATAGAATGGTGAATATTTAGTTGTAGCTTGTTTTTGAATACGTATCGAATATGCAACTTCCTCTAAAAAGTCACACCAGTTGTTTTGGTGTTCGTTTACCAGTTTAGACAAACGCTGTTTTAAGGTTTGATTTGTGCGTTCATCCAGTTCATTTGTCTGTGGATGATATGCACTTGTTATAGATCGCTTTATTCCAAATTCTTTGCACATCTGATCATTGATTCTATTGACAAACTCTCTTCCTTGATCAGACAGTAATCGTGCAGGAGCACCCCACCTAAAAATATTGTCATGCAGAAATGAAGCCTTTATCAGTCAGTAATTAATATGATCTGATGTGTACTAGTCAATAAGTTGTTCAAAAATAATCAATTACCTGCAGGAAAAGGTTTTAATGCACTTAGCTACACACTCTGCAGACTTATTACTTATGGGGTAAAAGTCAACGAACTTGGTGAAGTAGTCGGTGAATGTACACACATACTTTGAACCATCTGGTGTTGTTGGTAATGACCCTAAAGAAGGTAGATAATAATATAAGCCAAAATTGAAATGGTAGTGAAGTACCAAAATGTGTGAAAATTTGCTGACGTTTTGAGAAAGCCCTTTATCAGAGCTAGGCATTCTAAACCTAATGCTTTTTAAATGAAGTAAACCTTACCAATTAAATCAATTCCGACCAACTCCAATGGCTCTTTAACCTTAATAGGAATAAGCTCTGGCGCTTGTGTTTTTATCTTGCTGTACATTTGACAGCGATGACATGACTTGACCTAGATATAGATAAATAAAGGATATTACACAGTGGAGCAAAGATGAATTTTATTTCCAATTCAAAAAGTATATAGCTCAATTCACATGCTTTCATTAATGCACTCTGTTCAAGATTTTTCTCTTTGGATGCTAACAAGGCTACTAGTACTATTATACTTACAGGATGAAAAAAAATTGGGGGCAGGGTATAATAAAAACAGAAATTTTATTTTCATATATCAACTCACATATTCCTGCACATCTTCCTTCATTCCATTCCAGCGAAAATGGTCAGAAATTTTACTGAGGGTGGCACTCACACCACTATGTCCACCCATTGCATTACTGTGGTAATGGTTTAGCACATCTCGTACTTCCTGGATTTCCAAGAGTACTTCTTTTTTTACCCCTTCCTTGCCACCAGTATAGTAGAGCTTGTTGTCTAGAAATCACGATCAAGTATCAATCTAATGTATATTCTTTAATAAATTCAAACCTAGTGCCATTATGTTGCTATTAACTTTTGAATTGTAATATCCAAAAAATAAAAATTAATACACAAGTGATACAATCACAGTATCGACATATTATATCATACTCTATAGAGAAGAAAGTACTACGTCTACGGTTATTAAATGACGATATTAATTAATCATATCTAACTATCACGAAAGAAGAACTATAAATTACTTACTTGTTTCATCCATAACGTAATGCTTGACTTGGCCACGAACAACTCTCTGTTGGTTTTTCGTCAGACCATCCAAATGTTTACCATGACTTAAATAATACATGATCCGTTCACATTTCTCTCGTTGCTCACTAAAACGCTTCTCCCTGCTGAGATCGCTTGTCTCCCCAGACACAATATTTTCAATCTCACCAGTGTCTTGGTCGTTGGCTGCCATTTTAACAACGTAATAAGAAATATTTTTCTAATTGCTTGTTTTGATTAGTCGTCTGCACGTGTGTGTATCGAGCACGAGGGGATCATTCAGATCAACACAAAATCGTATGAGCCGCTGCCGCTGACTCACGCATGCGCAAACTACAGGGGGAGTACTCAGATCGGGGGAGTGCTCAGACCGCTACACCGGTTAATCTGTCCGTAAAGGATGTTAAACCAATTCTTGTGAAAGCCTCCTCAATACTAGTTTTAATTCCTTCAGCATCACCTGATTTCACTGACTCGATGCTTAAAAACTTCAATTTCGGTGCTCCTTCCGACAAAAACAAAACATAGACTAGCTCTTGCTCTACAACACTAGCATCAGTGCTACCATCGTTCCGGCATGAAAAAAATCTTGCATTTGTCAGGTCTTTTGCAAGATTGTCTCTAGTTACTTCAGCAATGTATTCTGTGAATACTGCACATTGCCTGTCATTACGGTAAGCTTTCGTTATCTTTTCGCCTAGGCCATTCTTGCCCTGAAGTGCGAGGAGGCCTTCAAAGTCACTGAATGGTCTCTCATTTTTCGCCAAGTAATAAGCTGTGTTGAATTTAATCACCATAGATGTTTTGTCGTAGGGAGATATCATCTTTTTCATTCCTCTTCCTATCGGTGTGTTGTCTACAACTTCTTGCGTATACCCTTCGACTCCCATATCAGCCAGTTTGCTCAATCTTATAGCTTCCTTGTGGGCATCACAATTTTCAACATGCTTTTTCACTGCATCTTTTTCAACTTTCTGGGTTCCGGTTACGCAAGTGTCTGAGAAATTCTTTAAAGTTTGGATCCTGTTTGTCCATCTCTTGCAATCCTTACATCGCAATTTTATCGCTTTACCTGCTTTAGCGTCATATTCTAAGTTACAACCTAACTCTTTTTCCCACTTTTTAACAGTTTTTACACTAGCTTCTTTTGGCATGATTATAATAACACAATATAAAAAATAATAGATATGCAAATTTGATCATTTTGCGCTTTGTCAAAAATGTCTAAAAAAATATGCGAAAAATTTGCCACAAGCTGCCGTAAGATCACAAAATGGCAAAATTTATGCAAAATTTGTCGAAAAACGTCCGCTCATTTCTAACGACATCACCAACCTACATTCTCCTGTCGGCCGCTGGTTGGTTGGGAAATTAAGGTCAAAATTGCGCTTAAAGCTTTTAAAATAAGATATTTTGGCCTCAAAATACTATCGAAGTGAGGAAAAATTGAAACAATAGTAAAGTATAGCATAACAATTTTGAGCGATTTGTCAACAATACAATTTTGTTTGTCTTTCAAACGCCATAAATCGCTGCGAATACTCTTGTTTAGTAATACATTTAAAACCTGTAAGTATAATTTCTTACGCTGAATCGAATGGTGGTATTTTTGTCCTTCTTGGGTGCATAAAACCAGAGATACACGCAATTATCAGAGTTTGAGATTGAAATTGAAAAAAACTTTCCTCAAAAAAAGGAATTCGGCAAACGTACAACAAGATTAATAGTAAATTAGGAATAAATTCCAAGCATTTTACTAGGCGATTAAGGAAACGTATTGATGCGAACAAACAAACTCACAGGCAGAATATAATGCGGTGCCAAACTTGGCGCGGGCACCGCAATATTATAATCGTATTTAATATATAACTTTTCGCCACACATATACCGAAATTTCACCTTTGGTGTAGATTAACAAATTGTTGGTTCGTGTATAACAGAATGTATCTACTGAGGACAATTTCCTGCTTAAAATGGTTCTATTTTTATTAAAATCGGTCAAGTATTTACACAGAAATCGCAATGCCATCTGATCAGATGACAATGAGTTTTAAGATTCAATATGAATGGCGGTCATAGAAAGTTTTCGTTTTTGCCACTTTGTAGGCAAACCGCAAGTGAACACTGAATTTAACGATTTCTACCAAAGCACTCGTTTTATTGAGCAGTTTAACTTGCGGCTTGAAGTCAAAACAAAGGACGATTTGTGTTGATTTGTATTTCCGCGTGATGACAAGCGCACGACAACCGACCCGAAAAGCCGCCACCCACCTCTTATAATAGCCTTCAATTTTCACACTTGCAAGCAAAGCATCGCAGGCTCTGGGCACACTGGAGACGAGATTGAGTATTACTATTATTAATTGAAATAAAATCCCGTCTCGCCACAACAACAGTGCTTCGTTAGAAATGGTGGCAAAAAGGAAAACATTCTGTGACCGCCATATGTATTGAATCTTAATGTAAATGCCTGAATTGGTGGGTCGCACAGCTGAAACCCAGTTTTTTTTTGCCCTGCAGCCGCAGACAATATGGCGGAAATAACCTTGAGGAGTCTATTCACAACTGCTCTCACTCTCAGCACGCGTGAAACTGCTGGCAGGAGCAAATTAATGCTGTATCAAATACACGCGCAAAAACACATGTTGTCGCAACATTGTTACTGTAACAGTAGTGACACCTAATACTTAATGCACCTATTGTTCACGACAATGTTCACAATATTCATTTGAAAAAAAAGCCCAGAAAGCCTCTGTGGCGTAGACAAATTTAGTTTAAACAGCCGTTGTTTTTCTTCAACATGTGATAAATGGACTTGCGATGCCAGCACTTCCCTTGATATAGTAACTTCTAGTTCATAACTAGTACAGCTATATCAACCTTGCTGTGTTCTTAGCTTATTCATTTTAACTGTATTCCGTTTACCACTTCTTGTAAGAAATTTCACCGTAAAGAATACATTTCTGAACTCTCTATATAGTTTTATGCGTTTTTCTCAAAGTTCTAAAAAATGACTTAGGCAAAAAAGTTAGTGATAGCTATAGTTAGCCATAATCCTGAAAGTTTATGTAAACAATGTAACAATGACTTCATTGCATTCGCCAGATACCTCAATCAAGGTAGCCTTTCCTTTCCACGAGAACGGTGTGGCAAAGTATGTACTGGAATAGATTGCTCATGCCTTTCAGACCAATATATTACCTTCAAAGAGAGTCTATCTGAAAATATGCAGAGATTCCAAGACACACTGGTTTGCCAAAAATGAAGCTGGTCAAGTAACCTGGGAGCATAACAAGCATGTGCTAAGCTATTTCCAGAAAACAGAGTTTGGCTTGCATGAACAGATTCCGGAAGTGGTCAAAATAATAGTAATATGTCTGATTATGTCAAGATTGCAATCTGACAATGTTTCGGAAAACTCATGAAATATGTAGCAAAGAAGTGATTCTGGGGCAAATTCAATGAAACTCACCAGGAATGAAATAAGAGAGACAGAGTTAACGAAGAAACATTTATATACAGCAACTCAATCCCTCTTCATTCTCTGCGTCTTGAGGAGTTGCAAAAGCAGGTGACCAAGTGCCATTTACCAGATATTTTTCAAACAAATCCAGGGAAAGAATGTTCTACACTCAAAACCTTCCAAATAAATAACAGAAAATAAGATTTTGGTTCAAATAATGTTTGTAATGCAGATGCTATGCTGATATGTTATGATTATTGAATTATGAATGATTATACAGTATTCTGGCATTCGTATATCCAAAATTGTAAATATATAGTAAGTATTGAATAAAGTACACACTAAATATCTTGAATTGAGAGCAAGAATTTTCAAATTGTGCTGTCAGAATGCTGGAAATGCCCTTTCAGAGCTCCCAATTTAAAATATTTTCCAGGGGAGCATGTGCCTGGACCCCCCCACAAACTCATGTCTATGATGCTTGGTTCATCGCTTTGCCATTCAAACAAAGTTTTAAAAGTGGAGGTTTAAAGGGTCTTAATTTGGAGTGGTATTATACACACTTCAAATTCAAGATAGGAACAGATGATGGAAAAATGATTCAACTCTAGGTCCTCTGGCAGGAATCGAACCTACGCTTTTGAGATGTCGGTGCAATGCTTTTGCCACTGAGCTACAGAAGTAGCAGACAAA